TGTACATTTTAGGTTTACAGTACAGTTACATTAATTATTGGGATCTTGTACCTTTACTGACAGATCTTGGTTCTCATTTTTTCCCCCATACCCCTGCTCTCCCTTCAATCCCTACACCCTCTCCTATTTACAAAGACTTTGTTTCCACTTTTTCCTTTTCTCATATTTTTTCTTGTCCCTTATTTCTTTTCTCCTACCCTTCCCACTTCCCCTACACCTTTAGCTCTTTTCTTCCTATTTCACATTATACACACACACACACACACACACACACACACACACACACACACACATATATTTTTTTTTGTACTGAGGATCAAACTGAGGACCTTGCCCTTGCAAGGCAGGCGGCAGAACTACTGAGCTAAGCTGGCCCTACCTATGTAATATTCTTACCAAAAAATGTAATCCTAATTATATAATGAGAAGATAATTAAGCAGATCCAGATGGTAGGGCATGCAGGACATGTGGCCTGGACTCCTAACTGTCAATGTGAAGTAAGACAAAAATGTCTAGATTAATGTTTAAACTTGTCTAGATGAAATGTCTAACTAGATTAAAAGACATTAATGAGACACACAGTTCAAATATGGAGGTACAGATCCCTGATTGAATCACACACGGGAAGAAAGACTATAAGGGCACCTGGGGAGCAATCGCAGATATTTGAATATGTGTTAATTTATCCACATTAGATTTTGTGGATGTGATGATATAGTTATTAGGAGCAGGTCCTTGTTCTTTGGAGGCATAGAGTGACATATTGAGATGAGGTGTTGTGGTGTTTATAATTTGCTTTCAAAGATTTAGTAAAAAAAAAACCCCTCATATGTGTCTGTTATCTATATGTGACAATACATATGCAGATATAAATATCTATATAAACTGTAAGTGCTCAATAAAAGATAAGACTTACACTAACGTGTAAGCCCCATGGGAACAGGGGTTTTTGTTTATTTAGCACCCTTAACAGTACCTGGCACATAAAGTGGTAGTTGAAAAACATTTAAAAGACAAATTATTGAGAAGGTGAACATTAGAAATGTAATGCGAAGAAATAGCACCCCAGAAGACACCACAGCATGATGCGTAGTTACATGGGACAGCTGTGGCTATGGCCTGAATATAGTTGTGCAAGTTGCTTTGATTAAAATGACTTCTGTATAATTAAAAAAACATGATTCAAGAAATTGCCCCAGAAAATCTGCCCAACTGAAATGAATTTGGCATTTCATTTACAAGCGGTAATATTCTCCGAATAACATCATCATACTTGGTTAAACCATTTGGGATCACCATGAAAAAAAAAAAAAAATCAGCCAGTTGGGAAGCTTCTTTTTTTCTAGCGCTGACCCAAATCGACATCCGCAAGCCTCTTGTGGGAAGCCTACTGCGCCCTCTGGTGGTGAGAGATACTCATTTTGTTTCTATAGAAAAGTCCAACGGGATACAGATAAAGTGGAGTGCCTTTTACCCAGAGGTTTCTGCAAACCTGTCTCCTTACTTCCTAGTCATAACTTGTCCTTAAGGATTGAATTTGAGATGACTGACTCAGTGAAGGCCCAGCTCCGGGGAATTCCTGGGCCAGGCCGGACTAAGTAATATTCAATACAGGAATGGAAAGTGACAACATTTGCAGTTGGGTCAAAGCTGAGGCTGGATACATCCCTGGCATAATGAGTGCCAAGGGAGACCTGCAGGGCCATTTGAACTGTGAAATCTGTCAGGATCCTGTCTCCGCCCTGTGACAAGGATGAGACTGTACACCACCATATGTTTCAGGAAGAGCTCCGGGCAGAACCCTGGGGCCGTGGATTGCTGGCTGCTGTCCCAGCTTTTGTAGCCCTGGAAATGTCGTTCCTTTTAAAAGTTAATTGCAAATATTAAAAGACATTTTTCTTGAAGGTGAAAATAATACTTGGCCTGTGCAAAAAATTTATAAAAATATTAATAAAGTAAAATTCACCCTGAATCTATTTACATTGCGATAACCACAGATGAGTTTTTGGTGACATTACATTCAGATAATTCTCTGCATATAAGCACATGTAGCAGGAGTGCCTGATTATGCATTAATTGGGAATAGTTAATGGATAGTAGTTAAACCTATTCCTTTACAATTCACTTTTGTGCGTGTGTGTGCAATAGGTCTTTAAAATGTTTTTATCTTGTAAAACAGAATCTTTTTGTTTTTGTTTTTCTTTTGGTTCCGGGGATTGAACTCAGGTCCTTGCATCCCCAGTATCAAAAAAAAAAAAAAAAAAAAAAAAAAGAATCACTGAGCTAAATTCTGGGCCCTAAAACAGAATCTTTATGTCTGTCGAACAATTCCCCATTTTCCCTTCAACCTCAGTACTGGCAGCCACTCTTCTGCTGTTTACCTACAAAGGTGATTACTCTAGGGACCTCATATAAACGGAACCTTGTAGTAACTGTCTTTGTTGTGACTGGTTCACTTCACTTAGCATAATGTCCTAAGGGTTGTCTGCATTGTAGCGTGAGTCCGGTCTTCCTTCCCTTGTTGTATGCTTATCTGTCATATGTCAGCAGACAGCTGGATTGCTTCTACCTCTTAACCATTGTAAATAATCTTGCTATGAACCTGGGTTTTTCAGAAACCTCTTCAAGATCCTGTTTTCAATTCTCTCAGATATATACTATGGTTGGATATGGACTCAGTGTATTCCCCAAAGTTTGGCCCCTGGGTGGCCACATCAGGAGACAGTGTGGAACTTTTAAGAGGTGGAGCCTGTGGGAGGTCGTTAGACCAACTGAGTGCACTGCCCTTGGAAGAAGTTCTCATGCAACCACAGAAGTTCTCAGGAGTGTTACTGTAAAATCCCAAGGCTGGCGCCTTTCAGCTTCCTAGCTTTATGTTTGACATAAGCTTTCTTTCTCTTCCTTGCCATCTCCCCGTTGTCTTCCTGCCATTGCCCTTTCACGATGATGTGATGCACTCAACAGGGCTGCACCCGAGCAAAGCCAATGCCAGCACCATGCCCTTGAATTTCCAAATCTGTGAGCTAAGTAGCCCTCCCACCTTTGGTTTTGTTGCTGTTGTTGTTGTTTTTGAGACAGGTCTCATTATGTAGTCCAGGCTGCCTCGAACTCAGAGCAATCCTCCTGCCTCAGCCTCCTGAGTGCTGAGATTATAGGCATGTGTCACCATGTCTGGTTCTACTTTTAATTTTTATTGAAGGATCTTAATACCATTTTTTGTTTTGTTGTTTTGTTTTTGGTACTGGAGATTGAACTCAGGCCCTTGAACTTGCAAGGCAGGCAGCGGAACCACTGAGCTAAATCCCCAGCCCATTAGTACCGTTTTCTGTAGTGGCTCACTGGGATTTTGATTTGCTGATTTCCATTTCTTTAATGATTAGTGAAGTTGAGCAACTTTTCATAGCTCAATAGCTTGTTAGCTATTGTGTGCCTTCTTTGGTAAATGTTTATTTAAGTCCATCCATTGTAATCATTAAATTGTAGGAGGTCTTTATAGCAGGAACTCTGTATATTATCCCTTACCAGGTAAGGTGGATCCTTGATCTAAAAACTCGATTCTGGATGTAACTCAAGCTGGTTGTAAGTCAATACAGGTGAGATCTGAATGTTTACCTGAGTACATGCTATAGATAACAAGAGGCAGATGAATCTTCCATTAACCTAATTAACCCAAGTTGTTTGTATGTTAGGCTGGTCGTAACTTGAGGGTCCACTGTAAATCTGAAATCTTTGGACTAGCTCAATAGAGCTCAACAGTCACAAATAACAGTGGTTATAATTTGGACAACAAAGTCTACACTCAGCTTTACCAACTACTCTGTTGTTCATAAATATGAACATGTAGTTTTATACAATTGCTTTTCAAATGAGTTAAGAAATATGTACTTATACTGGTATCATCTTTTATATAATTATCTTTACTGCTGCTGTTGTGTGTATTCAAATTACTGTGTGAAGTCGCTTTCTTTCTTCCTTTTTTTTTTTTTTTTTTTTTGAGACAGGGTCTTGCTATATAACAAGAACCAAAGCCCTGTTCTATTATTTCACATAACCCAGATATTTTGCTTTTGTTGTTGTTGTTCGTTTTTTTGTTTTTATTTTGTACTGGGGATTGGACTCAGGCCCTTGTGTTTGCAAGGCAGGTGGTGGAATCACTGAGCTAAATCTTTGGCCCTTTGCTTTTGTTTTTGACAAACCAGAAGATTCAGCAACCATCTACTGGAGGTGAGTAGAAAGCCCACCTTTGAAATGGGGCATGAAGATGGTAACTCTAGTCTCATCTTGCCCTTACAAGACTACTGTCCCAGTGTAATTGTGGTCAATTAATTGAGGGTTCTTTTGCTCAATTCAGATAAAAATAATGAGTCAGCAAAGTGCTGCTCTGCTAGCAGCCCAGATGCCACCACTGGTTGACACCAGTTAATGCTAAATGCTGTCTGTCAGCACTGCTGGTTGCGGGTCTCTAGCACTGTCGCCTTCCTTATCCAGTTTGTTATTGTGTATTTATCTGTGCATGAATTGTGTCACATTTGTGCATGTAACCTGCATTCCACAACAGGGTCCTAGGCCATTCTGCTCACCACTGTATCTTCCCACCCCAGCGACCTGTTTGGTACTGGTGCACAGAAGGTCCTTTAAGAACCATTGATTAGCCGGGTGTGGTGGCGCACTCCTGTAATCCCAGCACTTGGGAGGCTGAGGTAGGAGGATCACTGTGAGTTCGAGACCAGCCTGGGCTATACAGTGAGTTCTAGGTCAGTCTCAACCACATAGTGAGACCCTGTCTCACATAACAACAACAACAAAAAGAACCATTGATTAATTCTGACTCCCAGGAACTAACGATTGAATCGAATATTGAAGAAACTGAGGAACGGAGGAAGAGAACGGTGATTTGGTTGAGATCTACCGCAAGCTCAAAGCAGAGAAGTGGGCAGGAATCAGATGCCTAAGGCCTAACTCTGACCTTTTCTGGGCTAGTTGACTGCAGTCTTCCCAAATGGGCGAGAAATGGCAGAGTGCGCCCTCAGGAGACTTGTGTTTGACCTGGACTAACCCCGCAGAAAAGTCGGTCCTAGTGAAAAACAGGCGGTGCAACAAATACCTCTTCTCCACCGGCCTCTTGGCAGAGAGACTACATTTCCCAGCAGCCCCCCCGGGGGGGGAGCCAAAATCCTTGCCACGAGGCTTGCGCCTCCGCCATCAGCCCGCTGGGGGCGCTGTGACGAGCCCACCGCCGCCCAGTAGAAATCTACGCGGCCCCAGGGCCGTTTGCTTCCTGTTTGTTGGACGAGGAGACATGGCGGCGGCGCCGGCGGCTGCTGGGGCTGGGGTCTGCCGAGGGAGACGTTCGGCAGCAACAGCGGCAGCATGGGGCGGAT